GGGAAAGCCCTGTGCTTTGCCCCTGCAGAAGCCCTGGGAGGAGTTGCCCAGGCTGCAGTGTCTTCATGCTTATCTGTCAAAGGCAGATAAGAGCTCAGCTGGGAGGAGGATTGAGGGAAATTGTCCTACAGCTAATTTAGATAAAGCTTGAGTGATCTCTTGGTGGATGGAGAGGTGTCCGTGCCATTAATCCCATAGGAGTCTTCCTGGGCTCCCCGGCCAGGCCCTGCTTCATCTCTCCACCCAGCAGGCTTTCTGGACTGTCCTCAGCCTGTCGAGCCTGCTGGGCCTCGGAACCACCTTGTGGCACTGCCACCTTTACCCGCTCCGTTCCGGAACCTTCATGGATTTCTTTCTGTGCCCTGGGTTCAGTGCGGTGCCATCTGGCTGAGATACCTTCTTGTGCCCAAGCTGAGTTAGGGCCTCTTCAGTCCCAATGCTTTCCACAGCCACAGCCCTGTTAACTGTGGCTGTCACTGCTCTGGTAGCTCAGGACCTTTCAGAAGACTGAGCTCCTCAAGGGCAAGGTTCCAGTCTGGGGCCACTCTGTTCCCAGAGCCCAGACTGAGCAGCAACCAAGAGAGAGAGCTCAGTCAGTGTGGTGGGAGGGAAGACAGAGGAAAAATGGGTTCAAAGCTATCTCTAGGGGCGGTGTGGGGAGTCATTGTAGGGGGGTCACTGTAGACCTTCCTCACTTCAGTTAGGACAAAGAGGTGCTGTGTGTCTTTCCCACTTCTCCTTGGGATGTGGTGAGGGGTAGGATGTTGGCAAAAATGAGAGGGAGGCTTTTGCCTCTGCACTTGGTGGATGTGAGCCTCTTGATCCGTGAGGCTCAGCCGATGGATACTGACATAGGCAGAAACTGAGAGCCCAACCCTTGACTCTGTGCCTAGTCAATTTGGCGTCTGTGGCTCTGTTTTCTCATCTGCAGTGTGCATAGCCCCATGTCACAAAGCACTTTCAGGGTACAAAGGAAGAATGCCATTGAGCACTCGTAGCACGATGCTTGCAGCTTCCTAGTTAATTCACACAACAGAGATGAATGGGTTGGACACTGGTTGCTAGGCTGGGCCCTGAACACAAAGGAAGACAGGCCTGCCAGACTCCATGAGAGGAAGGCCAGCCTGCTTTGGGTGGGGCCTTTTATGACCATGGAAAGGAAGTGAGTGGGTCTTCGCTCTCAGAGACATGAGGAGCCATGATGGATTTGAATTAACATGGTCAGATCTGTGCTTTCAAAAGGTATCCGTGGCTGTAAAGACAGGGCTGGGTTAGAAGGGTGAGTGTTTCCTAAATTCTGCCTTCGGAATGATTTCCTGGGGGCTGGGTGGGTTACACTAGGCACCCTCTAAGATGCCCTCCTGAACCCCTTGACAGCCACAGGTCCTCCCTAGCGGTGGGAGCTGGAGGGTGACTGGAAACAAGCTGTGGTCACTGCACCTTTGAGACTCAGGAACCTCTGGTGGTCACTCAAGACAGGGGAGGGGAGGTTTGGGACTTGCACTGCATGAAGACTCAAAACCCAACCTCCTTCCTCTGCACTTAAATAGGGGCCCCTGGAGTTCCAGCCTCAGTGAACAGGAAGGGGCGTGGCTGGGAAGAATCTCTCAGTGGAGAAAGTATTTCCCTAAAAATGACAAACATTGGTTGATTTTTCCTGCAAGAGCTGGAAATCCACGTTACCTTTGAGGACCTAGAATCCTTAAAGTAAAATAGTGATTTTTTTTTTTCAGTCTCAGGGTGGCAGCACCCAGGGAACCTGGCCAAAGTCAACAGAGCCCTTCCTGAAGGAATGGGTCCTCATCCCAAGGTCCCTTTTGGAATTACTCAAATGTGAGTTACCAATAAAAGTAGAAAACACACAAGGAAACAAGCCACTGTGAGTGACAGGCGCCAGAAGCAATAATCAGCAACATTATTTTCTCTGAGGATCTAAAATGCTAAATTAATGTATAATTAGTTGTGTTTACGATGTGTGAAGAAGTCGAAGCTGAATCGGAAACAATAAGCTGGGAACCAGTCAGTAGCTGTCTAAAATAACCGACTAGATTTGAAATAAGGGTCTAGTGGAATCCCTGGAAATGAAGACCACAGTCAACATGAAGAACCCAGCAAGCAACTAGCAAGTTCCACATCCAAAGAGGAACTAGCACAAGAATGCCCTGCAAAGGGAGTGGGGAGCTGTGTGTTAAGGGGATCCCTAAAGGAAGTGCTCAGCCTGTAACCCCAGTTGTTGGGAGACTGGGGCAGGAGGGCTGAGCTGAGTGTTTGAGGCCAGTTTGGATGGCTGTCTTAGTCTCTTTCTTCTTTTAGGTTTACTTATTTTATCTAAACGAAGTCTTGCTGACATGTATCTGTGTGTGTGTCACATGTGTGCCTAGAGCCTGCAGCCTCTTCCCCCTGGAAGTGAAGCCATCATGCCGGTGCTGGGAATTGAACTGTGGTCCTCCGCGAGAGCAGCAAGTGCTCTAAACTGCTGAGCTACCTCTCCCGGCTCTCCCTATCTTAGTTTCTTTTCCTGTTGTTGCGATAAAATAACTCTGATAAGAGCAGTTTAAGAAAGAAGGGATTATTCTGGGTTTGCAGTTCCTGGGGGATGCTGTCCGTCTTGCTGGGTAAAGTGTGGTAGCAGGAAGTTGACTGCCCACATCACATCCACACTTAGGAAGCAAAGAATGAGCAGGAAGCAGAGATGGACTATAGAGCCTGAAGGCCATCCCTAGAGCTGGACTGTAGGGCCTGAAGGTCACCCCTAGAGCTGGACTATAGGACCTGAAGGTCACCCCTAGAGCTAGACTATAGAGCCTGAAGGTCACCCCTAGAAGCTAGACTGTAGAGTCTGAATGCCACCCCTAGAGCTAGACTATAGAGCCTGAAGGCTACCCCTAGAGCTGGGCTATAGGACCTGAAGGCCACCCCTAGATCTGGGCTGTAGAGACTGAAGGCCACCCCTAGAGCTGGACTATAGGACCTGAAGGCCACCCCTAGATCTGGGCTATAGAGACTGAAGGTCACCCCTAGAGCTGGGCTGTAGAGTCTGAAGGCCACCCCTAGAGCTGGGCTGTAGAGTCTGAAGGTCACCCCTAGAGCTGGGCTGTAGAGCCTGAAGGTCACCCCTAGAGCTGGACTGTAAAGCCTGAAGGCCATCCCTAGAGCTGGACTATAGGACCTGAAGGCCACCCCTAGAGCTGGACTATAGGACCTGAAGGTCACCCCTAGTGGTCCACTTCCCTCAGGAAAACCCCATTTCCTAATGGATTCACAACCTCCCTAACCAGCGCCACCAGCTGGGGACTGAGTGTTCGTGTAAGAGCCCATAGGTGACATTTCACATCCAAACTATCAGAGCTACATAGTAAGACCCTGTCTTAAAAGACAAGGGCTGGCAAGATGACTCAGCAGGTAACGAGGCTTGCTGCCGAGCCTGAGGATCTGAGTTCGATGCCTGTGACATACATGGCAGGAGACGACCATCTCCCACAAGTTATCATCAGGTGATCTCCACACATGACGTATCTCTCTATCAACTTGGAAAGGGTCTTTATTATTTAAAATACAAGTACCAAAAACCACCACCGATAAATGGGTGCAGAACCTAAGAGAGATGGAGAAAGGGTCCCTTATGGAACATGAAATGTGGTATGAAAGGGGCTAAGACTGGGTAAGGAGGTCACAGAAGAGGAGAGGGGAGCTTTCCTGGCAGACTTGGGTCACCGTGAAAGCAGCTTGGCCCAGAGGCCCGCAGATGCAGACGTAGAGACAGGCGGGTGAGCAATGAAGACCAGGGAGAGGGGTGGGTCAAAGATGGCTATCAGACTTCTGGCATGAGAAACTGGGTGGAGGTGTGTTACTCATTAAAGTGGCAAGGCTGAGAGGGAACAGGCTAGGGAGAAGGTGCAAGAGGCAAGCTTTGACTGCTTCTCAGTTTGCCTGGGAGGATCTGCTGCCAGGCCTCAGGGTAGGTGTGGGACTTGGCCTAAGTGGAGAACTTCTTTTCAACTGGGATTTGAAGATCAGGATTTTCTCCAGCAGTGTGGCAAGCTTCTATAAGAACCTCCTTCTAGTGCACACCTTTAATCCCAGCACCCAGGCGGGTGGATCTCTGTGAGTTCCAGGCTATCCTGACCTACAGAAAGAGTTCCAGGATAGCCAGGGGCTACATAGAGAGACCCTGTCTCAAAAAACTAGCAAGACTTCGTCCATTCAAATCAGACTCCTGGAGAAGTGGCATTTTCATTTTTCTGAAGGGAAAGTTGAGACCCAGGAAGGTCCTGGCCTTCATTCATTCATTCATTCATTCCTCACTCCCTCCCTCACGAGTTTGTTAGGAGCCTGCTTTGTGCCAGACACTGGAGCTGGGGATACAGAAGGGTAGAAGCAAGATTCCTGCTTTTTAGAAGCTTGTATTTTAGTGGCAGGAGACAGACAATAAATATGTAGGTAGGATGTTGAGAGCTATAGCGGAACTTGAGGACCAGAAGAGGGCCAGGTATGTAGGAGATAGCATCAGGAAAGTGACTTAAGTATGGAAGGCTCTGGAATGCTCATATAGAACCATTGCCCTCCACGGCCTATTGTGACAGGGTCAGTTCTAGGTATAGAGTATAGGCCTGATGTCAGTAAGAACCTGGCGAAAGAAATACCTCGAGAGGGACAACGTGGAATCCGTGTTGGGTGGTGCCCTTCCGGGAGTCAGCAATGCCCAATGGGTCAGAAGGGCCACAAGGGCTCTCTTTACACTTGTGAAGGGTAAGAAGCATCCCTTCTTATGGCTTCCTTGCTCCCCATCCTCAATCCCATCCCCTCCCGCCATTGAGTCCCAGATGACACCCTGACATCTTCCATCATTGGGGATGCTGAGAGGTCCCTGTGTTTAGCACGGAAGAGGATGTCTCAGCCCAGAGGAGGCTTAGTTGTCAGGTCAACCAAGCCAGTGAGGCTCTGTCCTGGTCAGGAGAGGCCAAAGACCCCATCAGTCACGTGTCTGTTTCTTCTCTCAGGTCTCCTGTGAGCAGCCTCCATGAGGCCCTGGACCAGTGCATGACAGCCCTGGACCTCTTCCTCACCAACCAGTTCTCAGAAGCACTCAGCTACCTCAAACCCAGGTGAGCTCAAGGGGTGGGTGTGCACACATGCAAGTGCTCATGTAGGGACGGACATGGATTGGGGGAGCCCTGTGAATATGTCACACTGACTCCTGAAAAGTTTTATCCAAATGGCCCAAGCACCCCTCTCCCACAGTGTGTGAGCAGCCAGGTGGTTTGCACAGTCATTGAGGGCTGGTGACTTCCACTGCAGGTGATTTCCTGTTCCCTTTTCCAGCCAGTCTGAACTGTTCTCTGGGCCTTTGGGTAGTGACAAGGACTGTACTTTGAGGCACTTCTCCAGTGTTTTCTGTTGGTCTGTTTGTTTAATTTTGAGACAAGGTCTCCGAGCCAACCTCTGACTTGAGATTCTCCTGCCTCTGCCTCCCAAGGGCTAGGATTCCCAGCATGCACCACCAGGCCTGGCAAACTGTTTCTAAATAATATATGCATGCAGGGTTTTTTTCCTAATCCCAATCCCCATATCTATTTGGTTTTTAAAGCTGAGGTATAATTCAGATACCATAAAATTCACTTTTAATAAAACAATTTATTTGTGTGAGTGTGTGTGTGTGTGTGTGTGTGTGTGTGTGTGTGTGTGTGTGTATGTATGTATGTGTAGGCTAGAGGATAACTCTAGGGAGTCAGGTCTCTTGCTGCCACCTTGTGTGGCCCTGGGATTAAACTTGGTCTTTCAGGCCTGCATAAAGCTGAGCGATCTCATTATCCCAAAATTCACCGCTTTGTCACTTTAAAAACTCATCTCTTAGTAGACACGACTGTAGTTGTCACTGGGTGTGTGGTGCACACCTCTACTCCCAGTACTTGGAGGCAGAGGCAGGTGGATCTCAGTGAGTTTGAGGCTAGGCCTGGTCTTATAGTGAGTTTCAGGACAGCCAGGGTAACACAGAAAGATCCTTTCTAAAAAGAAAAGAATTTAGCTTTCTTACCTGGATATGATGGTGCCCTTCACCCCAGAACTTAGAAGGCAGAGACAAAGTTCTTGAGTTCAAAGTCATCCTCTGTTAGAGAACAAATTCAAGGCCAGCCTGGGCTATATGAGCTCTTTACCCTGAAAAGTAAAAACAAAAAACAAAAAAATTTAGCTTTCTTTCCCACAGGCCCCACGTTGTTTCCCTCGTCCCCTTACTGTATTACAATATTTAACCAAATTACTAATTGAGATTATTATACCTTCATAATCACTGCATCTCTTATATCTTTGTCAGCACACACACACACACACACACACACACACACACACACACACACACCTCAAAACCAAACCCACAGCTCTCATCCTAAACGGAACAGGAGAGAGTTTATTCTGGCACCCATTTTGAGTGACTGCATCCTGGGAGCACAGATTGAGGTTACCCCAAATTCCATGTTCCAGTATGGAAGCAGTCTCACGAAAATTTTTTCATAGTTTTCCAGAACAGATAAAATCGTAAATCAAGGCAAGTGTACAATACATTAGTGGGTACATCAGAGAGACAGAACAAGATGAGGGAGGCCTTGCTACAGTCTCAGGATGCTCTTACGGCAGTCTTGGCTTCTGGATTGGTGGGAGCTGGTGGTCCACTAAGGTCATAGATTCCATGTTAGTTCCGACACAGGCGTGGGCCAGGAATGGCTGGAGCCCTAGATAAGGTAACTAGCCTGTTGGACCCGAGACATTCCGGTCTCTCATTTCAGGAGTTTTCCTTCGTTATTATTGCTCACTGTCAGGATGAGTTGTGTGTTTGATGAGCTGGGTGGCGTTTCCTTGCTGGACTTGTTAGTGGTCTTAGCTCCTCATCTCCTGGTGTGATGTCTTTTACACCCTCCACAGGGTGACCCCATCACGAGTTCCCCCAGATATTCAAACATACCACGTGAACTGCGAGCGAATCTACCATAGCTCTTGTGCTGGCTAGTTTTCTGTCAGCTTGACACAAGCTAGGGTCATCTGTGAGGAGGGAGCCTCATTTGGGAAAAAGCCTCCGGAATTTCAGGCTGTAGGCAAGCTTGTTGGGCATTTTCTTAATTAGATTACTTTGATGTGGAAGAGCCTAGTCCACCGTGGGTGGGGCCATTCCTGGGCTGGTGGTCCTGGGCGGGTGGTCCTGGGCTGGTGGTCCTGGGCTGGTGGTCCTGGGCTGGTGGTCCTGGGCTGGTGGTCCTGGGCTCTATAAGAAAGCAGGCGGAGCAAGCCAGTAAGCAGCGCCTTCCATGGCCTCTGCATCAGCTCCTGCCCCCAGGATCCTGCCCTGGTTGAGTTCCTGTCCTGAGTCCGTCCGTGATGAAGAGTGATGTGGAAGTGTAAGCCTAACAAACCCTTTCCTCCCCAAGTCGCTTTGGTCATGGTGTTCGTAACAGCAACAGTGACCCTAATCCTGGTTCCTCCTCCAGTGTGATCTGTGTGTCCCTTCTCAGAGCTGTTTCTGGTCTTCTACTCTTCCTGTCTGTCCAGGTTTCAGAGCAGTGGGCAGGGACAAAGGTCTCTTTCATTCTGTAGTTTTGTAATCGACTCTTTCTGTTCTAGGAAGTTTCCTTATTCTTCTGTTCCCTTTCCTTCAGCCAGGTGTTGGCCTTCCCAGGTGAGCCTTCCCTAAGCTTCGCCTTCCCTCCCTTCTCCTTTACGTGTCTTTTTGAAGGTGTGTGCGTGTGTGTGTGCATGTATGCGTGTGTGTGCGCGTGTGTGCATGTGTGTATGTGTGTGCACGTGTATGCATGTGTGTTGTGTGTGCATGTATGCATGTGTGCGCGTGTGTGTATGTGTGTGCATTTGTGCGCACACGCGTGTGTATGTGTGTGTACATGCATGCGTGTGGGGGGCACTGCACACATGTTGAGGTCAGAGCACAACTTTCAGGAGTCCGTTCTCTCCCTCCACCATGTGGACTCAGGGATTGAACTAAGGTCTTCAGGCTTTGGAGCAAGCGCCTTTACTCACTGAGCCATCTTGCTGAGCCCTCCCTGCATTTCCGCCTTTTCCCTCGGAGTGTCATTAAGTTCTTCCCTTGACTTTGTTCCCTCCATGATGCCGTGAGTAATTTCCTAGTGCTCACTGTTTCTCTGCATATTCTTTTTGGTCCTTAATATCTATCTTTTCTTTCTTTCTTCTTTTTTTTTAACTCTTGTACACGTGTGTGATGTGCGTGTGTCAGGGTTTGTGTAAATGTGTGTGTGCAGGCATGTGGGGGCCTAAGGCTGATGGTGGAATCATCCTTGATTGCTCTCCTACCCCATCAGTTGAGGCAGGGTCTTGGAATCAAGCCCACAGCCTGCTCGTGTGGCTAGTCTTGCTACCCAGCTTGCTCTGAGGGGTCCCCGATCTCCACATCCTTGGGGTAGAATCCCAGGTGGGCCACCACGCCACCCAGCATTTATGTGGGGCTCTGGGGATCTTCCAGTCCCTGTACTCAGACTGCAACTGTTTTAACTGCTGAGCTGGTTTTCCAGTCCCCCTTTATATTTTTACTTGTATTTTATGCATGTTGGTGTTTGCCTGCATGTGTGTCTTTGCATCATGTGTGTCCCTGGTACCCAGGCAAAGAACCGGAAGAGCGATTCAGATCCCCTGGAAGTGGAGTTTAAAAAAGTTGTGAACTGTGAACCATCGTGTAGGTGCTCGGAATTGAACCTGGGTTCTTAGCGAGGTGAACGCCTTTAACTGCTGAGTCATATATCCAGCCATCATCTCTTTTTTATTGGAGACAAAATCTTACTATTTAGTCCAGGATGACCCCAAACTTGAGATCCTCCTGCCTCAGGTTGCCCATTTCTGGGATTGCAGGTGTGTGCCACCACACCTGGAGCCCAGGATGCCTGCCCCACTTGTGGGACATGCTGTTTCCCTGTGCCAGTCTGGGGGGTCAGTAGCATGTTCCCTGCACCTCACCTTAGGGCAACCAAAATTATCAGATGTCTCAGGGAAGTAAAGTCATACCCCACCCATGACAACCAAAGACTCTTTCCAGAAACTGTCAGATTTCCTTCTGCAGAGCGGAGACAGAAGCTCCTCATCACCTTCCCTGAGAACCACGGCTCTAGAGTGGTGGTCACCAGTAACAGCCACAGGCCCTGGTCCCATTTATAGCCATTGAAACTTCAGAGAAGGCTGGATCCACAGCCATTCATGATTCCGTGCTGAACACGGGTCTGCTTGGCCGTTTTGCCCCTGGTGAGGTGGGTAGCACCTTTCTGTGCTCCTTGGGCTTAACAGGGTTTGCCACAGTCCCTTCCTTCTCTGCCTCTGCTATCCAGATGCCACGTCTCTGAATAAGACTGTCTGTCTTGCTGGCTTATGATTCTCAGCACTGTCTCCGGGCGCTGTCTGGAACACAGAGGCAACTCCAGTAATTTTTCCTGTTGAATAAATGACCATGGCTTGTCAGTGGCAGAGCTTGGATGCAAATCCAAGTCCGCCCTGTGCTGCAGGCTGCATTCTGACTGCTGGGCTCTCCCAGGTCTCATGCAGGGTGGCATGGTCACCTTGCTTGGAAGGGCCTCATGTGGCTCCTCCCAGAGAGGAGGGAGGCCCTGGAAAAGGGCATGCGCCGAGAGAGATAGGTGAGTTCCCGGTACAGGAAGTTCAGGGTATGCCCATGCCATGTCTTGGAGCTTCTTTGAGACGGGCCAGGTAGTTCTGGGGAGATGGCAGGGAGAGGAAATTGCTCTCTGAGAAGGATGACAGTCTCAGCGGAGGCTGACTCAGCTCAGAAGTCACCTGTCTGCAGGGCGGTTCCCTGCAACCTTGCTCAGGGCAGCTTGGGGAGTGGGCAGTTATGTGGCCCTGGCCTACGGTTCCCAACTGGGTCCAGCAGAAGGTCTGAGGGCTCTGGATGGGGACCCCAGATGTTGAGGCTCAGGTGGGGAAGGAGGGCTGGCAAGGATTTGACAAGGCCTCAGTCTTGATTGCTAGTGGAGAAAGAGGGGGCCCACCCTCTGCACTCTCCCCTATCATGACAGCTGGTTTGGGCCCTAGGAGGTGGGATTCCAGGGAGCCTCTTTTCACAGAGCTGAGTTCAGCTCAGGGGTCCAAGTGCCACATGTACAAACAAGAGGTTGTGAGCATACAGAAAACTCTGGATGTCTGAACTCGGGGGTTCACCATACCTCTGCATCCCATTTCCCAATCTAGGTGGTGGGCTGGTGAGGGCCAGGATTCCTGGCCACAGGTACATGTTGGGGCCTTGGGTCTCAGACTAGAAATTCCACTTTGTCTGCCAGCTGCCTGGGCAGGGCTTCCTCCTTCCGGGCCCAACAGGTGTGGCTGGGAGGGTGGGGCTGAGTCCTGGGGCTCAGGATGCAAAGGAAGAGGGAGAGAGAAGCAGGGAGAGACCCTGGGAAAGAGGCTGGGAAGCTGGGGATGTTCTGAGAGATGCTGGTGGTCTTGCTAGGGAAGCCACTCAAGGATGTGACTCTGGACGCTGGTGGGAAGAGGGACTCACATCTACCGAGCAGGGGTGGTGTGGCCTGAGAGCTGAAAACAATTTCAGTCACCCAAGAAGCTCCCGAACAGAAAGATCATTGTATTCATTTTTCTCTTTCTTTCCTTTGTTTCTTCCCTTCCTTCCTCCCCCACTCCCCATTTTCTGTGTGTGTGTGTGGTCTCTGGCTGGCCTGGAACTTGCCGTTTAGACCAGGATAGCCTCGAACTCACAGAGATCCACCTGCCTCTGCCTCCCGAGTGCTGGGATTAAAGGTGTGCTCTACCATGCCCGGCCGTATTTGTTTTTCTACAGAGGGGAATCCTGAGACTCAGAGAAGCCAAGAGACCTAACAGAGTCAGGTGACTGTCACAGCCAAGATTCCAGCCTGTGTCTGAGGGACTCTAAAGTCCAGGTTCAGCACCCCCACCCCCAGCAACAGGCAGCCAGATCCTTTCCATTGGCCACTATTCCTACACAGTCATGGCTGGAAGGTGCTGGGAACCGGCAGGACTGGGAGAAATCCAGTCTTCTGTTCCTTTGGTCCTCAAGAATTCTGACCTATAGCAGGTAGATAATGGTGCATGCCTCTAATCCCAGCACTGGGGAAGCGAGGGAGATCTGTTTTGTGAAATCTAAGACCCTGCCTCAAAACAAAACAAAACAAACCAAAAACCAAAAACCTCACCTCTGAGGGTTACCCAGAAGGAGAAGAGTAATGTCCACAGGCTTTGCTAGTTTAATTAGAAAGGAAGACGGTCAAAGTCATGTGATCTAACCATAAAACCCTTATGAAACCTCGCCATCTCTCCTCTGACGTTCCCGGCATTGGCGTGGTACTGAGGAGTTTAGAAAATAATTGACAAAGGTACTTGGGGAAGGGACCGAAACCGTGCAGGCTTCTGCCATGGCAGGCAAGCTGTTCCCCTGCCAGCCTCAGCAGCCCCAGCCCTCCAGCACCATCACCCCCTGTTGCTAGGGTAACAGCCAAGTTCCAGGCTGCTAAGGGGTCCCTCCAAGTGCAACGAGGAACTGGCATTTTTCCAGCTATTAATGCCCACTGCTGTCTCCACATTGGGCTAAATCTGCCCCTCATACCATGGGACACTCCTTAGTCTAGAAGCTTGGGTCAGTGGAGGCTGGGGAGGCAGGAGGTGAGGGCTTTCTGAGGCTGTCCTGGTTCAACCTTGCCACATCAGACCACAGAAGTGAGTCACACCAAGCCCTGCCCCCACGGTCCCCACAGTCTGCAGAGGAGAGTTAAACTTGTGCTCACGGGCAGAGTGTGGTCTGTGCCCTGTCAGAGGCATGTGGTTCCCTAGGAGAAACCTGGATTCCCAGGGGTCCTGAAGGCTGAGGGCTGTGGTGACTGAGTCAGAAAGACAGCTCAAGCTGGAGGAGCAGCCTGGGCGAGGCCCGGGAAGAGGAAAGTGTGTGTGTGTGGGGGGGGGGGGGGGGGGGGGGGGGGGGGGGGGGGGGGGG